AAGTTCAACAGTATCCAAGATAAAAATGAAGGACAGCTAAACAAAGCCAAAAGCACCCTCCGCAAATAAATCGATGTTAATGTTTAATTTTCAATGAGGAAAAGTGTGTTTACCACAGATGTAGTGTTTTTTTAGTCTAGAAGCCACCAATTGCAAGGTCTTTAGAAAACCCGAAGTAGCAGATTTTTTTGTTCTTTGTTTAATCCTTTGTGTTTTAACACCTTTACACTAACTTGCAAAAGAAGCAAAATAAACAAATGAGACCTAGCGGAATTAAGAGCAAATGCAAATTCTAGCCTTCATCCAGTGACAAGTACATTATTATAAGTTCCAGATCGATGCAGATGCGCTCCATCATTAGAATTAAATGGCATTTAGAGAGTGCATATATATGTTTGCTCAGAAATCTCTTCAAAGCGTTGCAACAATAAAGAAAAACGAAAAAGGAAATAATGATGAACTACAGCTTGAAAGATAATCCAAATGCATTAATCAAAGAAGAATTCCAGCAGAAACCTCCTCAGTTACATTGTTGGTCATTTTTCATAATATATTTAGTGCTTAGCCATATGGCGTACGTATATGCCATTTTCTTTCGTAACCTGTTTATTAAGATTACTAAATAAAATAGTTTTAATAAGTAGCTGGGTTAATAATAAACTGCTTATCACAATTTATTGTTTGTAAATCATTTTAACAGCCGTACCAAAGGTGAAGCAAACTGGTGGACACGTAGATTTCCCATATACTGCGGGCACATATGTAACAATTGAGTGTGAAGCTCGGGGATGGCCAAGACCAAAGATCACATGGTTGAAGGACAACAAAAGTATCGCGGACATAAACCATAACAATCAATACTTGGTAAAAACAATATCAAGACAGGATGACAGGGTAATTGCCTCACAGTTAAAAATACTTGCTATCCAGAAAGAGGAAAGCGGAATCTACGCATGTAAAGCAACAAATGCACTCAAAGTTGTTACAAAGAATATAACGGTCTTAGTTGAAGGTAGGTAATCTCTCCTAAGTATACTCTATCCCTTTGCACGCCTCCCCCAAGTTCCTTGCCAATACTTTTCCAAATTAGGCTCTTTCCATGCTTCTGTTTTTATTCTTCTTTAATTTTTTTGTGACACACTCCATGAAACCGTTATAATTAATTTGAGGCACATGTTTTCCTCAGCTTTTTTGTTTTTCGTTCCTGGTTTTAAATCAATTTATTATAACGTTTTGAAGCTTAATTAAAAACAAGTAAGTAAAAATGTTATTTTGGTGACCACTGCTGTAGTTTTTTTGAAGTGCTATTTCTATTCCGGTTATAATCCCCCCGGGGGGTAATCCCCCTCGGATATAAGCCCTCCTAACAGCCCTTACGAAAATGTATAAACCTAGGGCTTCTAAGCGGCGGTTTACGCTACGTTTGTCCGCGTGCATTTTTTGTTGCAGTTTTGAGTGCTGCAGTTTAGAGATGAAAGACCTTAAGTATCTGTGTCTTTCCCTTGCACTGATTCCCGCTTCTGGTCGAGAGTAGACCTTAGTTTCCTTTTTACTTTTTACATTCGGGAGTTTTATTCAATGTTTAGAACCAGAGCTCTTTAAAATCAGACTGACTGCAGAGGAGCCACAATATACTGAGGAAGTTGGCAAAGATGCATCTCTGTCCTGTCTTGGTGAACCAGTCAAGAATGACCCCTTTACTTGGGTTTACTGGGAGTTAAATGGAACAAGGCTGAACACTTCAACTCACCACTACGATGATTCCAGGATATATTCCAACTCAAACAATGGAGCAACACCTAAAGTCCACATGAAGCTTATAATATTCAACGTTGATTATTCGGATGAAGGAAACTACACCTGTGTTGTTTATTCGTTTTCGGAACGTGTTAGTGATAGCATTTCACTTCAGATCAAAGAACTGCAGAAAGGTATGAAATAGATATGTACAGCGGCTTAGCTTAGGCCATTTCTCTCTTATCAGGGGTACTTAGATCATACATGGGAAAATCCGGAGATTGTGGTTGGAAAATCAAATGATTTGCGCCATTCGGTATGGGGAGCTTCAAAAACCATGACTGTAATTTGAGGGGATGCAATATTTCTTCTCTTTTTTGTCTGTTCAGCTGATTTAGATATACATTGTAGCGGGTCGTTCTCCTACCACGTCAAATTCAGATTTCCACTTGGGTGGTTATGGTAAGCACACCAGGGCTGGGTTTAAAGGCCTCAGGGCAAGTGTGTATCAGACTTTTAGGCTATTTATTGATTCATTTTCCCGCCAAAAAAAGCTAAAAGACCAATCAGAGAAGAGTACTGGGATTTCCAACCAATAAACAGTTCAGGTGAAGGCGAAATGACAAGCTTAGGCACTTGAACCCATTCATGGGGTAGTCATTCAACTTTATCTTCGAGTTCGCCTTCAGGTTCTAGCTAAAAAATGATTTCCTAAGTGATGAATGCACCAAGCGTTTGTTTTCCGGCAGGAGAAATCTAGAAATAGACTGAGTCGCAGTAAATGAAGGCTCCAAGGTGATTTGCTTCTTTCACGTATTATGATTGTATACTACTTTAGCTAATCAATTTTTCTATCTTAACTGACGTGGTGAGAGTAAAACTCAAAGGTTGATAGTCATTTTCGACCTGCGTGGATTGGTACTTCTCCATTTGCCGAAGGACTGTCCTACCGAAGCTCCTAAAATCGTTTCCCTTGATTATAAAACTTGTCACAATCTCCTTTTCCCATGTCCCATTGAGTTAATTTTAATTGTTTTTGCCTTTATTTGAGAGGTACTGGTGTGCTTAACACATTTTTTCATGGCCTATTGCTATGATGGCCAATGCTTCCTTTTCTTTTGGCATGGAGGAAAGGTGTATTACCCTTAAAGGTTTAATCAGTGCGTCTTGATGATTCTCCTTGTTCGCCGTCTTTTTTTTCGTTATTTTCTTCATGATCAGTTTAGGTTTCTTAACCCTTTATTCAACTGCCAACCTGCATAAAGCGGTCATTTGGCCATTCCCGAAGGTAATAGGTGTGACTGATAAATTTCATCGTGTGTCTACGCCTGAAATTAATGTGCATATTGCAGGGCCCAGTTGTTCGAAAGGATAAATCTTTATGCAATGGATAGCGCGATTGGTTTCCCTAATACTTATTTATTCGCTGAAGTGTAATTTACCGGTGGATGGCCGAATTTCGAATTGGTTTCCAAACTTTCTTGGATTTACACGGTACAATTTTACCGCGAGCGATTTGCTTGTAGTTAATTGCGATAAGCATACGTCATCCATTGGCTAGTTTCACGGGCAGCTTAGAGTCATGTCGAGGGTTTCTTGCAAGGGCTCATTAACATTGCATGCGACAAAAATATGCCGTACATCAAATAGCCCAGTTTCATTCACAGGAAACGGTGGAGGAATGGAAGTCTGGCTGAAAGTTGTTCCTGTTCTTGCCACGCTTCTTGTGGTTCTGATACTGGTGATCATCATTGTAAAGTGGCGGCAAAACATACTAAATAGGAAAATGGCTAGACTCGCTCAGCAATGTGAGTGTCATAATTAGTGGAACTCAATTCATGTGCGTTCGGAGAGCAGGGGCAGCCAGTTGGCACGACGAACGGGATTTTTGTGGGCGAAAATTCTTGTTAAGCTTTCGCCCGTGAAAATTCCTTCGTCCCGACTGGCTGCCCTTGTTTTCCAAGTATCTTATTCATTTGGGTCAACAAAACAGTGCATTGTAAACGTGTAAATGAGCTTCAGTCAGAGGTTAATCACAGTTTTGTCGTGGAAATAAAAACAAAAAAAGCATGTTTATTCTTGACCACTTACACTGTTGAATTTCATGTTTGGCAAAGAAATAAATCGCGTAACCTGGTTTACAGACGAGAGACAGTGCATCGCAAAGGGCTGCAAACCTGCCTGCCTTGGGTGGAAACTGAACTCTTGCACTAACACTTGAGCCCATTCTTTCCTTGAACGAAATTTGACCATAAATGGATTTGATTGGCCACCGTGGATACTGTCGTGAGCAGAAAGCTCTTACGGAATCCTTGACAAAACTCCGTTAGAATTCCAGTAAAACCTCTGCCTACACTTACACTTTCCCGTAGGCAGCCCTGCTCGGACACTATCAAAGGATATGGTATCAGTATTCTCGCACAGCTCTCCATCCGTTGATCACACAGTGCACTGACATCACTGTGTTATTTGTTGTGATAAGTCCAAGGACAATAAAACAAAGCGAATAACATTGTAGTATGGGGGACGTTTCTCTCATTACAGGTCGTCACTTTTCTTTATATTGCTTATTGGTTGCTTACGGGATCATTGCCAGTTAGTCACGGACACTTTTCTCAGGCTTTCCGTGGGTGATGTCCGCTGACAGGGTAAAGAATTTCAACCGTTCTTCATTTTTCGTTAACAGATGAGCAAGAAAACTTCTATCATGCATTTGAAAACGACGTGTTCGTCTCATACAGCTTCGAAGACTACGATTGGGTAGTAGAAACTCTTCTACCAGTGCTTGAGAAAAGAAACGTCAAGTACATCGTCCGTTCGCAAGATTTCAAACCAGGCAAAGGATTTTACGACAGCATGGTCAATAGCGTGTATAACAGTCGAAAAGTGCTTTTGGTCATGTCCGCAAACTACTTCTCCAACGATTTCTGTATGGAAGAAATGCAGATGGCACTGTACAGATCAGCAGAACGTGATGATGATTCGCTGATTCTGGTTCGAATCGACAACACCGAAATCAAAGACATACCAAAGACTCTTCGACACAAGACGTTCATTGACTTCACCAGCAGAGAGGAAGTGGCCACGTGGCAGAACAGGATTCTTGAAAGCGTTGTCTCTGAGGACAGGTCAACTTTGAATGGGACTCCCCACGAATGGACGGATAGTACGAGGGCCTCTGATACGTTCCAGCTCATTCTGTAAGCTCTCAAGCTAAAAAGGAAGAACAAAACGGACGATCCCAAGGATCTTACATATCAGGCTCAGAGATTTTAGGGTGTGTTATAACTGGAGCAGATTGATTAGATCATGACATCACTTTTAGATTCATAGTTTTGATAGAGTTGTTAGCTCACGGTCGCACATGGCTTCTTTCGAACATAATTGAAATTGAAATTTTCTTTTTTTTCTCAGTCTCCTTAAGACGTTTTTTTCACACCTGGCAGTTAAAGCTAAGTCACACAGCTCTGCTCGTAAGTCTTGTATCTTTTCGTTTCTATAAGGGCTCCAAGTTTTTCCATATTTCCTTTCTCTTACGTGATTCCCCTCGCCCTCCATGGGTCCCTGAAAAACAAGATATTTTTTAAAAAATATTTGTTGATGTAACAGTCGGTGCCCGTGGCACCAGTCAGAAAGAAGGCCTGGTGGGGACGGGGATTTCATCGCGGGTCCGCAATGAAAAGTCGATCAGCGATTATATATTTTTTCGAATGTGTGCTACCCTCAAATTTTACTTATTTGTACTCCTTTAAAATACACTTATAAGGTTTGCAGTTAACGTTTCTTCTTTAAAAATTTATAACCAGCCTTATTCTCATTCGCCCTCGGCGATTTCGAATGTGTCGTCACCTGTCAAGCTTGTCGGGAGAATAGACCTCTTTTAGCTTGTAAGTTCTGTTTTCCAATACAGGTCATGTGATAGTACTCTAAAGAACTGTTTCTTTCAAATGTCGTCTTATTCACGTGCATATGTACGCATAATTTATGACAAAAGACAAAGGGCCAAGTTCTTCTAGGACCGTCTGTTGGGAAAACAAAACATACAAGCTAAAGAGGTCTACCGTATTTATTCGATTAACCGCCCTAGGCGCTTATTAAATTTTTGGACCTTGAGAGTGGGCGCTTTTTCGAGGTGGGCGCTTATTCGAGGCTGGGCGCTTATTAAATTTTCACCATTCTCAGCAAGTGTAGTAGTATATTTTGTAACAAAACAGTAAATGCTAATAACAAAAAGGGAAGATGTGACAAAGCAAGGTTTTTGTACAATACCCTGAAGAAAACTCCGTCTTCGGGAGGGTCTCTTATTATATCTTATTGGAGTTTTTGTGGTAGGGAGTGGGGTGGGGTGGGCGCTTATTCGAGGTCGGGCGCTTATTAACTTTTTCTGCCTTTAGGATGGGCGCTTATTAGAGGTGGGCGCTATTTCGAGGTTGGGCGCTTATTTGAATAAATACGGTATTCATTTTCGCGCTCGGTTCTAAGCCCCCTGCTTCCCCCTCCCTCACTACTCGTAATCAGCGCCAGCAGGCGTGGGGACGAGGCTGGAATTTAACCCCTTTTTCCTCTTCATTGAGTACGTCACCCGCTGCCTAAAAGAAATAGAAAACTGTCACAAGCATTAGTTCAAATACCATGTGAAGTGTCGTCAACGAATCATTGCAAAATATCCAACCCAAGAGAGGCGGAATGGCTCTAACATACCTCGTGCATCTCTCCATTATTACTTAGGTGTAAAAAGGGTGAGAAAAAAGCACATAATATACCGTATTTATTCGATAAATCTTCGATAAATCGCGTGACGTCTTTACGCCAGCTTGATTCATTATAACTGAGATCTTGGTTACAATTTGCAACAGTTCAATATCTGCTCTTAGCTCTTTCCGTCACAGTCCCTTAAAAATTTAAGGGAAAAGCCCTGGGGACGAGGTTGATCTTCGGAATGACCGGGGCCAGGTCTGACAACTAGTATGGATTTTAGAATTCTAGTCTGAAAACGAGTGTGAAAAAATTACATTTTTTTGGTCAGAAATCGGGTCAGGATTTGAAGAACCGGGCGGCACACCCCCACCAAGAATTCCCAGGAGTACCGCGCGGGGGACGATGGGAAGAGGGAAAAGGCAGGAGCCTCTATCTCTTCTCTCTGTCCCCTTCCCGTCCAGCCCCGCGCGCTCTCTTTTTCTTTCTCCCCAGCCTCCCCACAACACAAAGAGGCCTCTGCGGAGGGGTCAGCACTCGTTAACATCCCGTCGAAAGGCCCTCTTATCTTCGGCAGGAGCCGATCGGCTCCAATCAATCAAAATCAAATCAATCAATCAATTTTATTTAAACACGGTAAATCGCTCAGCAGTCTGGTTTTCAGACATGCCGTGTGACAATAACAAGTTATAAAAGTTAAGACTAGTGATTAACTAACAATAATTAGCACAAGAATTGACAATTTTATCTGTTTCTATCGACTCTCATAAACGTGACCATCTAGTTTGTATGGTATGAAGACTAATAATACTAGTAAAAAATAGTAATAATTTGAAGGCAATATAACAACAAGAAATGAGTCATTAAAGAAATAAGATAAAAACATAATAAAAAGTTATATCCTAGGATATTGGAAGTTTAAAGCTAGTAAGACCCCCCATCTCATGTGCTTTATTTGTCAGTTGGTTCCAGGAAGACCTTAGACAACAACGACCTCAACCAGGTTGTGGCATCCAGCGGTTTTAGTGAAAACAAGGGTTCGGGTGCTCAGTCTCGCGGGCTTATAAAACCTGGTCTCGGTGGTTCTTATTGAAGGATTTTCTTGGTTCCAAGCCATTGGACCCTGCACCCCGATAAGAAAATGAACGCTTAAGAAAATTTGTTCTAGATAGGTAGTGGTAGCTGGAGATCATAGTTAGAACCCCTCAAATTATAGTCATGAATTTAAGAGGTTCTATGAAACCGCTCCCGAAGGTACGTCGGACAATTATTATTGAATACTTAAAACATATGGTGTCTTCGGTCGGACTTCGTAAACGTATGATGTCATGCTCACCTCGTGGTTTATATTTCCAGTATTTCCCTGTGACTCATGTATTCTTTTGCTTCGCTTCGATTGTGATTTTTGTTTCGAGGTCTTGTCTTGCTTTTTCCATCATCCCTCGATTGATTCATCTCAGAAGATGCCACTGCATCCGTTTGAAAAGGATGTTTTAATGTTTCGCCTTATCGAGAAGGTCCTTTCAGTGGATGTTACTGAGTAACATCCCTTGAATGGCCCTGGATCGAGTGGCATCCATGAAGAATTACTCGAACAAAAAAATAAAACTCAAATGAACCGCTGCTCCATTTCACAACTTCTTCAAAATATTGGCGAGAATAATAGAATCCATGTGTGAAATGTCTGTCTCTGTCGAAAAAAATGAATGTTTACACTAAGTTATCTGATAATCTATATTCCGTTTCAACCGCTGAAAAAGCCCACAAGCTCCAAGATTTTGAGACTCTTTTAACGAAAAAGAACTTTTTCGTTACAGCAGGTATTGAACCTTTTTCCTTCACACGATATTAAAATAAATAATATCACGCTACCAAAATAATAATCTTTTCTCAATCAACAATGATCTTTTATTTGGGTTAAAACCGGATGGACGATAGAGGTGACTGAGGTCAGCTGGGAAGTAACTGTATTACATGTATCGCACCTGTCTAGGTGATATCCGTTTCCCATTCGTGTATTTTCACTTTTCATTTACTACCACTTTTCCGGGCACTTTAAGCACTCTTGAGAAAAATACACAACGACACCAAAGGAGAAAAATGATTACTAGAAATGCGTGTTAGTCGCAAGTCTTTAAAGACAAATTATGTTGATTTTCTCGAATTTTCTCAGTTCTCAAAATGCATGCACTTGCCCTTGCCACTGGGGTAGTTGTTTTCTTGAAAGGAAATTGCCTTCAATGTAAATATTGAGATCAAATAAATTAAAGATAATTTAAATTTGTTTACCTTGGGGACCCCATCTATCCACAGAAAGCACGTTAAATATAAGATGTTATTTTTAAATACTATGCCAATACTGAGGGGAAAGTTTTACTTTCTTTTGTTATTTTTAAGGGGTTGATGGCAAATTTAAAATAAACATTCGGAGTCTCAAAATCTTGGATTAGCTTGTGGGCTTCTTCAGCGGTTGAAACTTTGTGCAAACATTCATTATTTTTCGACAGAGACAGACATTTCACACATGGATTTTTTCTTTTCGACTTTCTTTCGAAGAAAGTCGACTAAACAGCGTTTCAGACCGGCCGTAGGACACAGAGTGGCTATGAACTAAAGGTAAGGGAGCTTTTTGAATCAATATTTCGCTTGATCATGATTTTTTCTTTCTTAGCGTCGTAGATTCGAATACATGTGACAACATTCGAACAATAAGGGCCCGAATCACATATACTATGCAAGAAATATCGACCTTCTTTATCTTAAAGGCTACTAGTACAGATAGACAAAACAAGAAAACTTCATATCTTTAAGATTTTTTTCATTTATTTTTCATCAGATAATACACTAATAATTCTAGTATATTCCGACCATATGACCTCTGAAGCCCGGACCCACACATAGTACGCTTGGGCTGCCTGTGCAGAAACCTTCTCAGTATGTGCGCCGCTCTTAGGAGGATGATCTTTTGCAGCTCATTTTCCTGGCTCCAGGGATCTTTCCTTAATTCTGGGCCATTCCCTCTCTAATAACTCCCAACGCACCAATTATTATTGTTGTTAGTAGCAGTAGCAGTAGCAGTAGCAGTAGCAGTAGCAGTAGCAGTAGCAGTAGCAGTAGCAGTAGCAGTAGCAGTAGCAGTAGCAGTAGCAGTAGCAGTAGCAGTAGCAGTAGCAGTAGCAGTAGCAGTAGCAGTACCAGTACCAGTACCAGTAGTAGTAGTAGTAGTAGTAGTAGTAGTAGTAGTAGTAGTAGTAGTAGTAGTAGTAGTAGTAGTAGTAGTAGTAGTAGTAGTAGTAGTAGTACTAGTAGTAGTAGTACTAGTAGTAGTAGTACTAGTAGTAGTAGTAGTAGTAGTATTGAGACTCAATTTAGAATTGTCGGACTTTGACTTAGATATTGAAAATGGATGCGCTGAATATTCCTTAAGGCTTTGAAAACGCTATTTTATTTTCTTCTTTTTTAGTAATTTTCTTAGTAAGAATGCGTTTACCTTTGAAAATAGTTTTTTTTTTTAAAAAATCGAATGAATGGTTTCTAACCAAATTTAAGTGTTTTTTAATCGGAAGGAACTTTAAATAGCGTTTTTGACCATAATAGTTATTAAGCGATTTTTCAGCGATGGATTAATTGTTAATAGGTTGGCTTAATCGATAAAATTATTATTTATTATTAAAAATATTATCATCATCATTATTATTATTATTACTATTATTATTGTTCTTGTTGTTGTTGTTGTTATTTCGTAAGCTTTTATACCCCTTCGTTCTTAGCCTGAATTCTGAGATACAGGCTACTATACTGTGTCTATACTATCTATGGCTGTAGAGGTTTTTTTTTTTTTTTCAAAATGTGTGTATTCATGCTTCTTGGCAAACAAATCACGTGAATCTCTTAATTAAAAACTACCACTTGTTTTAGTTAGCTGTTAAAATTTATGTAACAGTCGACCTATACGGGTGAAAGGTTTACTGTTTATGCCAAATGAACATGAACGGCACGAGGACTAGCATCACTAGGAATCGACTTCTGATCAAACTAAGATCGTAAAACAAACAAAATCACAATCAAAGCTATCTGTTTAAACGAATAACACTGTCTTGTTGATATCCTGTCTGCAATGATCAGTTTACAAACCACCCCTACCCTTCCCTAGTACCCGGGGGGGTACTGCCATATATGGGCTATATAGGTATGTGCCGCTGTGAAGCAAGCAATTTACTCTAGGATAGGGTATATAAATCAGAGCGATTGGGTCTAGAATAGGGTATCATTTTTCAGGAAACTGATCAGTTGGTTGAAGATTTTATCTAGACTAGGGGCTGTGGTATAAGGTTTTGTTTTGACCAGACTGTGCCAGTGACCTCAGTAGTTTCTAGTGGAAAACAGCTACTCCAGGATAGGGGGGATTTAGGAAGTTTTCTCTGCAAAATTCAGCTGAACTAGCTCTGGTATAGGTCAAGGGTTCCAGGGTTCCAGGGTCCCAGTAGCCTCCCACGCAGGCGTTTTTAGGGGAGCACGAGCTCCCCTAAAAACGCCTGCGTGGGAGGCTAGGGTCCCAGCGGCACATCCCCACCCAGAAATTCCTTAAGTACCCCCCCCCACCCCCTCGGGCCTGGTACATTCCGCATGATTCGATTTTTCCTTTCATTGTTTCTCATGTCACGCAACAGCTTTTTTCGTCTTTCTTTCTTGCTTTGAATAGAATAGCGGCCTAAAACTTCCCTTTTCTCAGAATGTTGTTGTTAATGTGACTTCCGGCTGACGTACTTTGATACTGCCCAACCAGCCGTAGCTGATCTATATCGGGTTGTTTATGCAGGATTGGCCCTCAAACTGTTCATTTCAACCGTTGAGTGATGGAGAACGCTCGATATATATTTTTGTGAGACTTCGACTGTTTGTGGGGGAGAAATTTCCTTTTTACAGTATGATGTGATGGCATTCTCTTGCGATCTACACACTGTTAAGATATCTCTCCTACTGGTCTTCTCTTGTGGAGGTAAGCATTAAAAAACAGTAAAACTGATGTAATGTTTAGACTTGAGCGGGAAATTTTAGTTCAATAAGCTTTCTTTGCTCAGTAGTGCTTAGTTTTAAACATTCAGAACAAAGTCGGCATGACCCCTGTCCATTTGCAGAACTTAGGTTATTGCAAATTTCTGGACGCAGGGTTGACTTAACATTGAATGAATTCTTTAATCGAGAAAGCGTATTATTTAAAATTAGTGCGTTAAGCTATCATGAGACTTTTAACATGTAAATTAAATTCATAACTTGTAAGTTTAAGGCGCGCTGCTTCGTCATGACATGTTACGGTTGTATGCGTTGACATGATAATTATTGTTTGAATGCCTTTTTGACGCTTGGGGTGCAAGTATTTCGAACAGGTGTCAAGTGGTTAAATTCATCTCTATAAATATAAGTGTACAACCTAATAGATAATAACTCTTGGCGTTAAACTTGCCCAAACTTTGCTTTAATTCTTACTCAAAGTTCATTGTTATTTTTATTCGGAAATTTTTGTTCACATGTCTAGACATGTCTACAGTAAGAAAGCAAAATTAAAAAGTAAAGCAGTGGCATTTTAATACTGACTAATGTTTAAGCTTAATTTGATTCTTTTCTGGCCATCAAGCATTTCCCTGTTTCAAACTCAACCCAAGTTTACAGAATTCATGTTGTTCACACCTATCTATTATTACTAGACAGTGTGACCTCATGTGCCTGTCATACCCAACTCAGTATTTTCACATGAAGGTTAACAAAATTTCTACCGAGTCAGTCGTATGATTTTAACAGTAATTGAGTGATTTCTATGCAAACTGATTGGTAAAAAAGAACTATGGTCTATCTTAATATACTGTCATGGATGCAGCATTTCCAAAACGAGAAGAAACTTCACTGTAAATGGAAATAAATTTTAAAAATTTTCAATGTTATTAACAACAACAACAACAACAACAACAGTTTATTCAGTTGTCAAATGAGTTAGGTCTATGTTACCCACAATTAGCTGAGTTATTCTAGGTGGGCAACAATACAATAATTTCAAAATAATTGTCTTCTATAAAGTAAGCAAAAGAACGTAAGTAAAGAGAAAGCAAAGATAAAATGAAATGAATAAATAAAAGGTAGCACCTATAGTTATATTAAAGGAAGGAAAAACACTTTAACTGAATAAGGAGTTCAGATAGGAACTAGGTACTTTATTGCATTAAATTAACAATAGATCAGACAACTATAGGTCATTTTTGAGTTGTCCCAAGCCTCTATTTTTAAAGAGAAGCAAATTGTGAAGCCATTGAAAAAAAAAATTTTCATTCTTATGCAAACAAAACTAATTTTCAAAAGAAAGATTTTGCGCTTAGCCTCATTTTAAAGTGAGAATTTTTGGAAAACTCAGAGATGGTCTATGATCCATGGTGTACAGTATACTCTTATGGAATGTGACGTCAAAATTGTTCAAACTCAAGGCTGTTGAATTTTGAGCCACAGGCAACTGGTTTCAGACCACTACAAAATTGTAGCATAAGAAGGTCATATAAATTGAACCCCAAAAAAGTTAAGGGCATGCTGTTATTAGTCAGTATACCTATGACTGTGGGTGCAGAATGCTGATGAAACACTTGTGCTCAGTATAATAATTGATTGCATTAAATTTGCACTTTAGCAGAATTTCTTGTACCTTATTGTTTGTGAAGGATTTTATTTACCATATTGTATGTAGTCAATAGAGACCTTTAGATTGCAGGATGAGGGGGACTATAGCTACAAGGAAGAGATTTGATTTAAAGTTTTCTTGTATATTGGGTTTTTCACGGCTGTGCTCTAGCAGGGGTGGTGGCCCCTGGTGCCCAACGTTTGCTCCTGGGCAACTAGAAAATCTTATACTTTCTTTATTTAAATCATATGCTAGGCACCCTGGATTTCACAGCTACAATAAGGGACAAAAGTGTTGAGGCACTATAAAATGGCCCCATTTTGAACAGTGGACATACCTATCCCCTCCCCCTTTGTACCCCCACCCCCTCCTCCCAGACTCAATGTTGTATTTTAGACCCTCAAGTCTTTCTTTTACTACAAACAACATTGAGTCGGGGGTGGGGGGATTTACAGCATTGAAATAGAATGAAATAAATGAATGAATTTGTTGATAAAAGCACCCATTTTAGACAAGTGTATGTGTCAACTACTTTTGTCCCTGATTGTAGGTCCAGATCACTGGTCTCCCTTTAATTTTTCTTAGAGAACAGCCTTTATCAAAACATCATCAGGATGATCTGGTAGCTGGGACACCCTGGAAAAATTCATCTTTCTTTTTTTGACCAAAATAGTTAACCCGGTTATTTTATTTTTATAAAAAAAGACGTTAAGCCAAAAGCACAAAAGGTATTTTGTACAATTATATAAGCTCCACTTTTACTGAAACAAATACGTTGCTGATTAAGTATTATTATTAATAATGTTTTCAGGAGTGATTCAGGTTGAGCCAGCTGACGTCAGAATAATCAGTCCTACAGAAAATCAGATCATCAGATTCAGAAACCAGTCAGTCTTGTTTAACTGTACAAGTTCAAGTCCGAGAAAGTTTTGGTCATGGCTCAGAAACAACACTGTAATTCCCAATATAACTCAAAAGGATTCTTCTCACTGGTCAAGTTTTGAACTAAAAAGTTTCAGTCCACAAAATGAAGGAGAGTATATGTGCATCAATGATGCAGGGACAGATTCAGTGAAAGTATACCTCGCTTGTATGTAACACATGTTTAATTGTTTTGTTCATTATGATTTACTTTTGATGCATTGTAGCAGGAGCTTAATTGGGATACTCAGGGACCAAACGACTGTTTTCTGTGAAATATCTATATCTTTCGAAGGACAAATTGCCTAGAAATTTCTAAAAGTTTAGAAAGGCTAAAAATGTTTAGATGACCGTTCCATTCACTCAATCATTCCATGTCACGTACGCTTAATTCCAAAACTGCTTCACGTGCACATAAAAATTGTCTAAGGAAGGACAATCACGAATCACAAATAAGTAAAAGCTTAAGAAAAAAGTCTTTACTCTACTGTCCGTTGACGTAAAGAAGGTGAACAATGTTAAATCTTTTAAAAAAGAAATTGTATACAAATACAAATCACTAAGCAAAGAGAGACAGGAAATTTCGAATATCTTTTGAATAGTTAAGCAGCCTTTTCAAGTAAAATTTTCATTTTATTTTTATTTGTCTTTTTTTTTAGTTAGTTAATAGTTTTTTTAATGGTTAAAATTTTTAAATAAGACTGTAGATAGGTTGTAAATACTATTTTGGTTTGTATTTTTAAATTGTCTATTGATGTTAATTTTTATCTCAGTTTTATAATGACAGTGTAAAATTCTATTAATGTTTGATTTTATGCTTTGTAGATCGAGAGCCACAAGTTCATGATCAGTTTTATCTTAACTGTCACTGTTTAGCCTCTTTAAATAAAGGCGTTACCTTACCTTACTGCATGTGCTTTCAACTTACAACTTATACATTGAAGGTGGTTCCTTCTAAGAAGTTTAATTTACAAATGGTATTATTTGATGCAACCAAACCAACTGTGGACTTTCACACATGCTAGGCATATATACCCCACTGATGAATGGTTACAACATTGAGATATTTGTAGGCTATTCCAGGTGCCAATATAGTAGTGAAGTAATCCAGTATTACATGATGCGAAAAACGAGCGGGTGCTGGGGAGAGTCTCTTTTTTTTCCCGCCAACGCCCCCTCCCCCAGAGAGATATTTGCAGTAGCAACAATTGCTCATATTCTTTCAATCGATCGTTTATCCTCATTCATTCAGTTGTTTGTTGATCATTCGGACAGCAATACCCACAGTGAAGCAAACTGGAAAAATAAATATCCCATTTACTGAAGATGAAGATGCGACGGTTGGGTGTAAAGCTCGGGGATGGCCAAGACCAAAGATCACGTGGATAAGGGACAACCGAAACATAAGTGATATAAACCAGCAGTACCACGAATATATTGTGAAGACGACGATATCACAACAGGATGACAGGGTTGTTACCTCGGAGTTAACAATACGTTCTATCCAGAAAGAGGATAGCGGAATCTACACATGTAAAGCAACAAATGCACTCAAAGTTGTTACAAAGAATATAATGGTCCCATTTAGAGGTAGGTAATCTAAATACATCGACCCCATCCCTGTGCACAGCTACCCAAAGTATTTTCCCACAAGCAGACTGTAGTCGAACCTCTATTACTTCTATTAGCCTCCCACGCACTCGTTCTGAAAGGTTCGTCAAGCGTTCCTTTCTCATGAACGTCAGGGAGGATTGCGTGACGAGCCAAAAGAACGCCTTCGTGGGAGGCAATAGGCCATTTGCATGGTGACGTCATTTTACTACTGCGACCAGGGGCCCGTTTCTCGAAAGTTCCGATAATTAACGGGCCCGGTAAGCTGTCTCCGTTTACATTAAAGATCGAGGTTTCAATAGTTTTGCATCTAACACGATAAAACTGTCAGTTAATGAAACAAAATGGAGTAGTTTGCTTGCCAGGACCCGCGCTCTTTATTTTTCGATTTGAATATTTGATTTCGGGCCCGTAAAGTTACTGGGACTTTCGAGAAACGGGCCCCAGAATCCTTCGGGGGTTTGCTTTCTTGTCCAAATTTAGGCTTTTGTCATTCTCTATTTTCCAATTCCCCATAATACACTCTGTTTGCCCCCCAAATTGTGCATAAACCATTGTTTTCAAATGCTCCTGGGAGTATTGCATTTTCCCAAGAGCATTTTAAGACAATAGGTTATGCAAAATTTGGGGGGCAGACAGAGTGTATTATTGGGAATTGGAAAATAGTCAATTGAAACCTCACTGGGATTACCAAATTTGAATATGAAAGGAAAAACGAAAAGGATTCTGGTCGCGGTAGTAAAATGACGCCATCGTGCAAATGGCCTATACGTTGCTAAGAGTATGCGACAAACTTTTAGTGACACCACGGAATTACACATGTCGTAAGATGACTGAAATCCTTGAAATGCATTACTAACTTTCAAATGCCTTAAAAATTTGGCACCTCAATTTATGTGAAAAATTTATCAAAAAAATGCAGATACACAGCCGTTCAACCAGAAACAGTACGGATACAACGGAAGTCCTTATATCTTTTTTCTTTTTTTTTGTTTTTTAATTAGACCCAGGAGGCTTTAAACCCACAGTGACTGCAGAGAAAGCACAATATACTGTGGAAGTTGGCAAAGATGTATCCCTTTCTTGCCTTGGTGATCAAGTAAAGCGCGATGAATTTACTTGGATTTATTGGGAATTCAATGCGACAAAGATTAATACTTCAACTCACCACTACAATGATTCCAAAAAATATTCCAACCCAAAAGATGGAACAACTCCTAAAGTTCATATGAAGCTTACAATCTTCAACGCTGATCATTCGGATGAAGGAAACTACACCTGTGTTGTTTGTACATTCAACAGACATTATAGTGATGGAATTTCACTTCAGGTCAAAGCTAAAAAAGGTATGAAGAAGATAGGCACAACAACTTATAGTCTCTCCTTAGGCGTGCCGCTCACGCGTGACTTCTCGCGACCTCCCCTCCCCAAATAGACAGCTTCCTCGCAGGCTAATCGTCCTGGGACCAGTTGCACATATTTCAACATCGGACGTTGCGGATAACGACTCTCTTTTCAGTCTAGTTAAACTCATAATTTTAACAACCAGATCGTTAGGTTGTATGCAGCTGACCCCTAGAGCCTCCATCTCTCTGCTGAGGGCCTGGGTCAAAGCGTATTGCAGGCTATTTATTGATTCTCGCTTCCGCGCTTTAAAGCTCTTAGCCAATGAAAGAAGAGAAGGATTTCCGACTGAAGAAGATCATTGGCGGTTGGCGAAGAATCAAGTGAAGAAAGTTAAACCCATTCTTCGGATAGCTGTTAATCTTTTTCAACCGAGATATTAGAATCTTGCGATTTCAGTATCTGAAAATAGGACGTGAGTCTAACGCGCTGTGACGCTTATTTGACCGTAGATTGAGGTTCCCAGTTGATGGGCTTTTTTGTATTATTTATTGATTGATTTCTGTTCTTAACAAGGGGTAGGTGGGTAGAGGAAAATGTTATTATTGTCTTTTGTGCACTGCTTTTATTAATTTTATAGACGTGTTTGGAGACATAAGGCTAAGAATGAGTGAATTTGCAGTGAGCGCCTTTTAAACCCATGATGACAGTCTTTTCCCACCCATAGGCACTTGGCTCTGGTTGGGTATAGGAGTGACTGGTTAGGTATAGGAGTGGCGCTGAGGGTTTGAAACCCCTATTTATAATCCAACCCTTCTAAGACAAAAGAGTATACTAAAATACCTATACCCTGTATGGGACAATAACCCCTGTTTTAGAACCTTTTTAGGAGAGAGGGCAAAAGAAACGCTATGTTGCTACTTTGTGAAACATTGAGACCCTGGTAATGACGGTCTTGCACCTAAAACTGAATACGAAGTTCATACCCTGCCCAGCGGCATCTTGTTTAGGCCAAAAAAGGAATCCATGGTCATGTATTACATATTTCTAGATTTCCTGTTTATCATTCATGATTTCGTGTTTTCCATGCTTCCCGTTGCCATTTCTTCCCTTGAAATTAAGAGCTGCCATTTTGTTCCCGCACAGAAATTACACGCCGACGGTACTGCTTTATCGTGAGCGACCTGCTCATCGTTAGACCTTATTTATATGCTATTTTGCGCCTTACAAATAATAAATCATTTAATTAATTAATTAATTAATTAATTAATTATTAATAATTAATTAAATTATTATTATTAATTATTAAATTATCATTATGATATGCCCACGTCACTAATTGTTATGTGTTAGTCAAACCAATCATTAGTTTGTGTTTGTCGTATAGATTTGACGGATAGGTTTTAGACGTGTGGTAGACTCAGTCTAAGCACATTGCATGCGACAAAGTTATGACTTAAAGTATTGTGTTGATGTAGTATTGCGTTTCATTCACAGGAAACGGTGGAGGAAACGGTGGAGGATTGGAAGCCTGGCTGATAGGTGTTCTTGCTGTTGTCGCGTTTCTTTTGATTTTATTACTGATACTCGTCATTGTAAAGTGGCGGCGAAAAATACGAGAAAAGAGATTGGCCAGACTTGTTCAGAAATGTGAGTGATTTGATAACTTAATTCATACTAGCCTGTTCCAGGCGTTCACATAGTGGGGAGCGGTGCGAAGTAAAAAGGAGCGCGAAAAAATAAAAGCGAGGGAGGGGGAGAGGTGAGCACCTCTCTCCCCAGTCCCCCTCTACTTTTCATCGCTTTCTTCACTTCGCACCGCTCTCCACTATCTGAACGCTTGGAACAGGCTAAATTCATACATCCTCGGAGACTTAGGCGTAGCTTGTCGAGACGACGGGATTATCGCTGAACGAGAGGTCTTGTTAACTTTCGCCCATGCGAATCCTGTCGTTCTTTTTTAAAATCCCGTTGTTTCTACTAACTGCCCTGGGCCTCCAAGAATACAATTAATCCAAATAAGCAATGAAAGTGCATTGTTGAGGAAGTTCCGCCATTTTTAAAATGATAGAGTGTAAAATTTACATAATTGCGTAAAGCTGAGGGTTCCGTGAAAAAACCAAAGTGTTAATTCACTCCCAACTTGCACAGTTACATTGTTTGGCAAACTGATAAATCACGCAAGTTGGGTTAACGTCAAAGAGGATAGTTGAGCAAGAAGGCTACAAAGCAGATCTGCGAGTCTTGATTCGAAACTGAGCTCAGTGTAGCAGTAACCACTTGAGCCCTTCCTTTGCTTCTCCCACGAAAGAAATTTGGGTACAATCGAAGTTTTCACTAATGACTGATGGAAACTCTAGTAAGCAGACAATTCTTACGTTCTCCTTGACAAAACTCCGTTTGAACTCCAATACGAACTTTGTTTACAACTGCACTTTCCCGTGAGCGGCTGTGCGCGGAGATTCGGTTCAAGGATATGATCTAGCCTCACATGCACAGCCTTCCACCTTCAACATACAAATTCTCCAAACTGATCTCAATACATTTATTTAAGAAATAGTTGAGAGAACTTGATAAAAGATCAAGGCATTTTCTCTTTGGTGATCATTTTATTAATTCTTGCAACCGAATCTCTTGACAATCTATGGATATCCTTAGGAGAAAATTGATGTTGATCACTATTGGGACTGAAAGAGTTAAGGCTTTGTTCACACTAGCTTAGCTTAGCTTTTCCTACCGACACTAAAAGTTATCTTATATCGTGTGAACAGCAATTGCACAGAACTGGAAAAAGTTATTCACACATCGAACATCGCGCCGGAGAAGTTGGCCGAGAGGGTTTGGTGAACCAATTCCTAGTCCTGACTCCTAAATATTTACTTCCGTCTTAGTGGGTCCCAGTCCTCCTTCCTAGTTATTCACTTCCGCAAAGTTGCGATTTCCTGTTCACATTGTACCAAGGTGTGGTACGGAACCTATTCGATAATGTGACGCATTTTCGTTCCGGTACAGAAATCGCGCCGAAATCATTGTTCGTGTGTGTGAACAAAGCCCTGTCTGGTATGGTCTTCATGTCGGTGCAAAAGCTATCCGGTGTATCCGGCCTTATAACCTTGCCTTGTTTAGTCGTGATCAGTATCTCACTGGAATAAAGAAATCGAACTGTATTGGGGTATTTTTCCTCACTATTACTAGTAACCTGAGATCAGGCTCAATTTCTCTTACGTGGTCGCGCTAAAATTGAGCTCGATACAAAGTCTCTCACGCCTTTGCTGCTGCGGCCAGATTTTGGTTGCAACGCTGATTGGTCGTTAGAACAATGCTAGACGATCAGATAGCATGTTGGAATCACCGGAAGTTGAAAGCACTAAAATCCTGGCTCTCTTTCTCGGTTATCCGCCATGAGCAGAGAAGAAGAGAATTTTTCTTTATCTTTTGGAAGGTTTGCGGTTTCTGGAAATGAAACTTAACGTAACGAATGCTTTTTTGGATTCGTTTTGAAAGTTACGAATTGATGTGAGTGGACTGAATGGATTGCGGATAGGGTTGAACGGTTTCGAGTAGAATTTGTTTGAAGAAAAAAGCGTACTTAAAGCTTTCCAGAAAAAGGGAATATACCTAGCAAATTAAGGGTACAAGTAACAGTACCGTCAATATTTCAACTGGCTTCACAGGGCAATGATTTGAGTAAGGCCGCATTCATTATGTATACTGCAGGGGGGGGGGGGAAAGCTGACATTCGTCAGCAAATTTTAAACTGGTGACACTTTTTTCGAGTTGTGTATGCTATTTGAGCCATCAAGCACTTTATGTCAAAAATTTTGGTAAACCCTGCTTGTCCCTTTCCAAACAATTTGAGATCCCCCCCAAAATCCTGTTTTGTTTCTTATTTTTTGGCTCGATTTCTGGTATACTTTAATAGGCTTTTTTTAATCTTGATAGTCTTGATATTATTTATAATGTACATTCTCGCTGTCATTTGCTTCAAATACACTCAAGATACTGTACCATACATACGGTTACACGTAAGCATATATTTCTATATGTAGTACAAAATGTTAATCTTAAATGGAAATCTTGAATAAAGTCTTCGGCAAGGTCCACCAAAATCGGACATTCAGGACATTTTTAAATGCTTAAAAGCATTTGAAACAGAAGAATCCACGGTGTCATTTGTTTCGCCAAGATTCAGACATACCCTTAGAGGACATACCAGACTGGGACGAAGATGACTGGTTATAAACAAAAAAAAAATAGTGCCTCGTTTACTACGTAATGTTTAACAAAGTATTTTTTATCATGACGATTCCTATGATGATAACGTATACATGGCGATAACATAAACTTTTCATTTCGCCTTTCCCGACAGAAATTTCATTCGTGAAGCAAAATGAAAATAGAGCCTTAACTCAGGTTACACTATTAGCTATCACTTTTCTGTATATGGCTAGTAGGGGTCAGTCTTAGTCACTTCTTTTTTTCTGCTTCCCGAGGGTGGTAACCGCTGACAGGAGTTAAAACCGTTCTTTATGTTATTTTAACAGATGGACAAGACACTGACTATCATACTTTCGAAAAAGACGTGTTCATCTCATACAGTTCCAAAGACTACGATTGGGTACAGGAGTATCTCCTACCAGTGTTTAATAACAACAACGTCAACTATACCATCCATTCGCGAGATTTTAAACCAGGCAAAGCATTTCTTGACAACATGGCTGATAGCGTGTACACAAGTCGAAAAGTGATTCTTGTCATGTCCGCAAACTACCTTTCCAGTGGTTTCTGTAAGGACGAAATGCATATGGCGCTGTACAGATCAGCAGAACTTGATGATGCGTCACTGATTCTGGTCAAGATCGACAACACCAAAATCAAAGACATACCAAAGAGTCTTCGACACAAGACTTTCATTGACTTCACCAGTAGAGAGGAAGTGGCCACGTGGCAGGACAGGATTCTTGAAAGCGTCAGTGTCTCTGAAGACAGGTCAGCTTTGAGTGGGACTCCCAATGAATACACAGATGGTACAGGGTCCTCTGATAAGCTTCAGCTCATTTTTAATTTTTTTAGCTCAAAAAAGAAGAGGAAAAAGAACACTCCTGAGGAACTTACAGATCAGGCATAAGGATTTCAGTGTATGTTTTTTAATTATAACTGTTTCAGTGACGTTGGCTGGAGTTGGCTTGATTCTTACTTTTTGGCAATCAGTGCGATAAATGAACTTTAAGCTCACGGCCGCACATGCCTTTTTCTCTAATATTATTTTAAGGAGCAGTTTTCTTGCTATGAGGATTGAAGGTTGCCTTCACTAATAGGATTATTTTTTTACACCTATGGGTTGCTGCCAAGTCACAAAGTTCTGCTCTGGACTTCTGTCTTTCCGTCTCTATCAGTTCCGCTCTTAGGTTTCGCTTTCAGTATTTCCCTTTTCTTGGGGGACCCTCCTCCCGGGTCCCGAAAAAACATGGAATAACTTTTTAAATCATACTTCTAACGTTAAAAAAATTCTACATTACTGAATTCCGCCAGATCTTTGAGCGAGTAATGTTCCTGTGACTGGCAAAGAACTTTTGTGCCACTGGAGTCCCTCAGTGATTATTGTGTCTTTTAATGGGTTTGCTGCTCCGAGTCCGTGGGATGTAATTCCGTCCAGAAGTCGAGCGCACAGGTTGCGGTTTAGACTACTGAGAATTACCTATTTAAGCAAGCTGTTCTATAGGTTTTTTTGGACGACTCAAAACTTTTAAGGTGTGGGTAATAGACATTATATTGTTTCAAATATGCTGACAGTTCTGGAAATGCCCATGCTCTTTTTCTTGCGTTTTGCGGTTTTGAATCTCTTAACAGTTCTCATTTCAATTGAACCGTAAGCATTTCCGCCAAAGTTTCTGGTCGAATCAGTGTAACGAAATATTAAGCCTAAGTGACGCTAAAAATTTGTAGGACTGATTTGTGACAAGTTAACTTTGGTATTATGTACCCGGCATTCACCAAAAGGGTTAATAGCAGGGGAACGCGTACTTTTCAACTGAAGTTAGTTTATCATAAAGGTGTAATTTCTAAAAGCGAAGCATCATAGTCATTGACTAAGGGTTTGCACTATTTGAAACGGCCAAATAGTTTTCTTTATTTGTCCTTCGTCTGTACCAAATCTTTTTCTTCTAATTTAAAAATGGTGTATTTTTTCTTATTTTTTAATTATTATTATTATTTAAAATAACAGATGCAACAACAAAAACATCATGTCTGTGGCCCTTAAGGTAATTAGGAAGTCTAAGAATATAATTGTCGTCTAATAAATTTATATAACAAGGATTTGTCTTGATGCTTGCCGCGATCCTCTCCTCGCTTTCTGTCAGCGAGGTTGATTGTCAAATCACTTTCTTCCTTTTGGCGCCTGTCTTGTCCTTCCCTTTTCCCTATTTCTGGGTTATCGAGCTGAGGATAACCAAAGTATCTATGTGGTAGCCTCCTTTTTCTCTTAAAAGTCCGCCGAGCGCTCGTGACAAAATAAAAACAGCGGGGATTTAAATGAACGCTAGCGCAAGGGGGTAGAGGTTGGGGAAGAAGAAAATAGAAGCAACGTCTGCGACAGGCTGATCTACACTCTTTTTTTTTTATAAGAATGTTGTTTTTCCGGCCCAGGCTGAATATTCTTATTTTTCTGCCGATTTTAGGCTGAAAATATTCTTGTATTATTCTTAAATTATAGCTTATGACATTTGCGTTTTAGAATTTATTGGGGTATCAATTACAAGTGTTTGGCATCTAGATCTGTGCTGAATACTGTACATATGTATTACATGTACCGTTCATTGAACTGTCATTAGCGTTGAACATTTTGCTATAGTTAGTGCAGGTTTTTTCGTTTTGTTGGCTAGTTTCGCCGTTCAGAGAAAGGAATAATTTTATACGGTTAAGTTAAAAACATAAAATTGTATTGTATTTAGAGATGTTTCAACACACAAAATTATATCTATCCTTTTCAAAATCTCAGCCTTGGCTTTATTCTTAAAATATTCTTAAAATTTCGCAAATTTCAGCCTCGATATTCTTATAAAAAAAAGAGTATATGTGGCGCCCCAAGGGGTATGGTGTTTGAAACATTTTGGACGGAAAAGGGGCAAAAAGGTTTTACAAATTAAACCGGGTGTGAATCATTGAAAAATTATCTCACACAATGTTCCCGCGTCGCTTGCTTTTTACATGTTAACCGACTCGGGATTTCAAAGGGAAATTTCATATACCAAGTACCAAGAAAGAATAACTATTCTTTCTTGCATTTACTTCACTTTCATCGTCTTACAGATAGAAAAAAAATTGTTATCGTGAAATCCGCGACCAACGCATGGAGTGCACAAAACCAATCGAGTAAAAGAGCGCGTCTTTAATATATGAGCTGCTTTGACCGGTTTAACGAAACTGAACCGTTATGATGAAACAAAAGCAAGTGTTCAGCTCATTTCTTTAGCTATTTGACAACGCTTTATAGAAAGTATGTATTGAGAGAAATTGTTAGGCCATCGCACGCAGTCAGATTATTCTAAGGGGATCATGAAAAAAGTTGCGCGCGAATAAATTCTTTGTTACGCGTTGCCCGCCTTCGATAGGCTCTTTGCGGGACTTGATCACGTGATCAACTTTCGGAAAACACGAAAACAGTTCACTTTTGAAACATTTTGTTAGCACAAGCTGAAAGAGCATATTAAAATTAGGTAACCTGAGCATTTTCAGCTGTATATCTCACAAGTAGCGATTGCAACGGCCGCCGAAAGTTGGAAGCATTTGTATGAGAAAACAATTAACTTTTGCCATCCAGTCACGCTTGCATGGTTTTCCGTACAAATTCTTGTAATTTCGAGGCGTTATCTTTCGCAAGAGTTTAAAATCCACATGGGTCTTCGTTTTAGTCCAGGGAGTCTTCTTTTCAGTCCTAAGGGTCTTTTTTTTAGTCCAAGGGGTCTTCATTTTAGTCCAAGGGGTCTTCGATTTAGTCCAGGGGGTCTTCGTTTTAGTCCAGGGGGTCTTCGTTTTAGTCCAGAGGGTCTTCGTTTTAGTCCAAGGGGTCTTCGTCTTAGTTCAGGGGGTCTTTGTTTTAGTCCAGGGCGTCTTCGTTTTAGTCCAAGGGTCTTTGTTCTAGTCCACGGGGTCTTAGGTCTTAGGTCTTCGTTTTTGGGTCTTCGTTTTAGAAACACCCAAATAGCTTCTTTGTCAACTGTTCACTAAACAACCCCAGAGCCCTTTGTTTATGTTTGTCTGAATGCCACATGACTGGAAGCCAAGCAAAGACAGTCAGGATGAGAACATGTTCTTGCAAAACAAGCCGGCCACAGAGCCTTTACTTTCACAGCTCAATTCTTACTGTTAAAATGAAAATTATCAGAGCATTAGGATATTCTGAAAGAACAATGTCTAAGAGGCCTACTTGCCAAAAATGAGCATTTGTGGGCAAATTGTCTCGGAGATCGTAGCCCAGTTATGCTTACAAAACTCCATACAAACCCTTCTAAATTTTTTTTGGGTCGACCCAAAAAAAAATTAGAAGGGTTTGTATGGAGTTTTCTGAGTATAACTGGGCTACGATCTCAGAGACAATTTGCCCCCAAATGCTCATTTTTGGCAAGTAGGCCTCTTGGACATTGTTCTTTCAGAATATCCTGACAAATCCCATAATTTCAGAAATTTCACTTTTATGACGTCATCACTTTAGTACTCTATTGCATTCAGTTCCTAACGAAAAAGGATCCCTTCGTGATCGACGTAAATCACACACGGGTTCAAGAGGGCAGTATTCGCATTTCCTTTGTTTACATGGGAAACTCTTCGTCCACAGCAAGTGAACGACGTTTTCGACCCAGTCCTTTTCAAGGTGCAGTTCGTCGTCGTCGTCTCTTATTCGCAGTAAATTTTATTTTTTAAAAAATTTGCTCTGGGCATTCAATTCCTTTCAGCCAATGAAAAATTCGTATTTTCCATCGCGTTACAAAAATTAAGCCGAGTGGCTCTAGGGGCACAGGAAGCGAAGTTGCGCAATTCTTGGTTTGCGACCACGTGACAAGGTGGCCCCGTTGGGAGGTCAATACAATAAAATTTCTCGAAGAATTTTCATGAAAATGGAGTTTAGTTCCCGGAAGAGAGAAGTGCTTTTGTTCTTGACCACCGGCACCAACATGGTCGCCGTGAACGTTGGCCTTGAATAAACGAAGCGCAATTGCGGAATACCGCCCCCGACAGCCGACCAGCCTGGACAACAGATCACAATCATTGCAGCGCTTTGCAGGTATTTCTTCCGGTGTTTACTGTTCGTTTAACTCCAGTCCTTAACTTTGCGTTACCAGTTCCTTTTTCTATATTTTTTGCGTCGGACGCAGTTGTCACTCGAGGCCTCTTAATCGATTTCGGCCCCGATTAAAAACACTGCAGTTCATCACTAAGCCTAAGCCATCAGGGAAGAGATTTTAAAGGTAGCCGTCTTCTTATCATTTTTTTTCCCCCTGTCTTACTTCCCGTAAATTTATGAGCTGAAAATTAACTGCAAAAGACCGCAAACGAATATGCTGCAAAACGTAACTAGAATCTATAGAGGAACTGATCATCACAACTCTACCAGCGAAACATATTGAAATCTGCAAAGCTGAGCTTTGCAGCCGAATTTCAATGTGTTTCATTAGCTGGATGGCTTCAAGGTCAACTTCTGGCTTCGCGTTGTATACATGTATTCGCTGTCACGCGTTCACAGTTGCTTGTATTTTGTTTGTCAGTTTTTTTCCTTTAGTATGAGCTTTTAATTAATTATTTCGTATTCGTGGTTTATTCGAATATGATGTAGATTTAATCGTGGCTGACCTTTTATTAGTCCCGGGGGGTTTCCATGTTTTAATACTGATTCTTCAGGTGAAATGGCTATTAATTGTTCTCGCGACATTTTACAGTCGGTAAAAGTTTCTGGATATGCGTTTATCCCTCATTGTTTCAATTGTTATTCTAAAATACTCAACAGGCCCAACAGAAGTCTATACCATGAAGGCTCTGTAGTACTTTTCATCTTGAATAGTCGGATTATGCTAACAAAAGCCGACTCTCTTCATTGTTTTCCCTTTTGTGTGGCCAGATCACAGATTTTATACGCTTTTAAATTACTTCATACCGGGAGCAAAGTACTGTTAACCTAGAACTAATTGAAAAAGAAGAAATTACGACTGTTTTAGACTCAGAAAACTATCCTTAATATTATTGTGTCTGGTCGTTCTAGCGCCATCGGCCCAAAAAATCCCAGCAGGGGAAGTCGGTTGAAAATGGCATTAAGAGGATGAGAGACCTTTTTCCGAGACCCTTGTTTCAGCATGGAAACGAGGCTTATCAAAAGAACGATAAATGTAGGGAAAATATGGAAGGAACGAGGTTGTGGAAGTTACTCTATTGTTTTTATGCTTTAATGTATACACCTGAGAAAATATTAATAATGGGTTCATTGAACGGTCATGGTTGCGTGTGGATTTAGAATGTAAGGGTCCTTTTGAATGCAAAT